AAAATAAAAAGGTAACAGCTGTTCATGGAATGACAGACACATACCAAGTACACAGATTAATATTTTGAACAAATATCCTACAAAATCAGAATGTACTCAAACATATTTTTGACCAAATTGAATTACAGTAACTCTATTACAATTAGAAATTTATTATTATAAATAGACTAGTCATATTTAGTTGTTCATCAGTTAGCAGAGATCTCTTATCAGAAGAATTTGGAAGGAATAAAATCTTACATATATTACAAATATACTTTTTAATTTTTAATTTTTAAATTTTTAATAAAAAGTATATTACAAATATACTTTTTAATTTTATTCTGTCTTAAGAATGCTGGTAAATTTTAGCTCAGTTATCTCTATATACTCTATTACCTACTCAGACCTTTCATTCCTATTTTGATTACCATCTCCTGGGCATTCTGGGTCAATTCCTTTGGTTGGCCCCAGATCGGCTATAGCCTCATCCTTGTCAACTTCTTTTCCAGATCTGGATTCATTATACAGCTGTACAGCATGTTCTAGCAAAACACAAGCATACCCTCAACCCCAAATTAATTTTTTTTTTTACCTGATGGAATTGTCTTTCTGCTGCCGTACTTCAATCTTTTGTAGAATTTAAAAGGTTAATAATATATGTGGCCAAGTGAAGTCTATTATGAGGTGTAAATTTTGTAGGGAAAGATTCCCACTTTTGTTTTTATAATTGAATTTTGACAATATGATGAGAAACCTGTATCTTGTATTTTGGAAGAGGAAACTGTCACATAGCCTCCCTTACCCTAAGACGGCCCATCTGTTAAAACAGAAGCAAATTGAATTAATGTTTGAAGTAGAATGACAACAACACCAGAAAAGTTAGCCAATGTAGATTGCCAAGAGGATGAAAACTATCATCACCATTGCTGAACTGAAAGAAAAGGAACAATGATAGTTTGCACCTCACGACCAAAGCCATTGGAAATGATCCTGAGACTGCCAAAGGGACCCTGTGGGCACATACTGAGTTGGGAAAATAATTAAAAGCATTGGCAGAGACAGGTCAACTGTAGAGAGATGAGCATTATAAAGAGCCAGATTAACTTTATCTAAGGCAGTTTTAGCCTTTGGTGTAAGTGCTCCTGGAGAGGTGGGGGCTGGATCACCCTTGAGACTGTTAAAAAAAAAATGACCTAAATCATGAGCAGTTAGCATAAGAGTTGGGCAAAGCCAGTTCATATTACCAAGTCTGAAAATCAATTAGGGTTAACAGTTTGGGGTCATTTGTCTTTGTTGGATAAGGTGACCCAAATATGAAGAAGCTATCATAGCTTATAGCCCTTCGGAGGCTACCACTAGAACTGCCATTATTTAAATGGAATGTCAGAATCATGCACCTGTTTAAACCCAAATGCTCTCAGGTCACACTCCAAACCTTTATACCTATTTGTAAAGACAAGGGGCAAAGTTTTCATTTATGGGAATTACATTCTTTTAAGTAATCTTTTAAAATATCCCCATTATTGTAAATCTTAGGAAATATGATTTTTTTAAACTAAAGGCAAAAGGTCTTTTATCTTAAGGATAGAAACAGCCTTTTAAATTAATCACTGTAAGGGAAAAATGTAAATGCTTTTTTGTATCAATTGTAATGGAGAGAGAGAAAACAGCTCTATTCCCTGTGTGCCTGAACTGTTTTTTGCATTCCTCCAGGGCAGAAATCTAGTAATTCTATTACTGTGGACCTGTAGCTGTTACACCCAGAGGTTTTCTGTACTTGTGCATAAAAGCCCTTTAAAATGTTTTTCCTTTAAATAGTTAATTCCTATTTTTCAACTCAATATATATCAGAAGACCCACAATCCATGGATCCCCTTTTTTATTTATTTATAATTTTTAAAATTTTGTCAAGGGAAGAATGACCAATTGAGTGATACAAGAGTCTGGGGTGATTTAAGAAGTGTTTTAAGTAATCTTGATTTTTGTTTTTTAATAGTCTAAATCAATGACATCAGGCAAAACCTGGAGACTTCTTTGTAGCCTTTGGATGCAGCTTTCACTCTATTGCCTTGGGGCTGGGCGAGCTGCTGGTAGCAGCTCAACTGTCCTGCCTTAGTACCAGAAATGGACTCCATTGCCCATGCCACCCCCTCTCCAGGCAGTGCAGCGATTACGGCCTCTGCAGCCACATACACTATTGGCTTTTTTTTTTTTTTCCTGATCTGGGCTGCTGGTGCTCTTACAGCAGAGTGCTCATTGCTAGTGTACAAAGTGGAGGTGCCCCAGAAGTTTCCCTGGGATCCAGCTCACTGGGAAGAAGAGAATGGGATGCACATGGCCATTGTCTTGGCCAGCTGACCCCAGGCACTAGGCATGCCCGCTTTGGCCACTGGACATCCCATCTCTGCTGGGATCCCCAGTGCAGGCACTGTTTACGCCGAGTGAACTTTTGGTGCCAAAAGTGCACATGGTGGCAAGAATCAGGGCACACTGCAGTCATGCCCTGCCTATTTGGTCCCGGGTACCCAGGCCTGTAGTTGATGGTGCATGCCAGCAGCCAAAGCTGGGCAGAGCACATGGGTGCACAGGCAGCTGGAAAATCCCAGTTGAGTCTGCCTAGGACCAGAGCATGGGGCCTTCCCTGCACCTGGTCTGTGCCCCTATTGTTTGATGGGGCCGAGGCAGGGCCCACAGCAAGTTTCCTGGAATGGGCTGCCCTTCCACATCAGTTTGAGATTTACACTCATTTTTCCAATGATACCCTTGTTAACACTCTGTACAAAGACTGGAAGGTTTTCATAAAGAGACAAATAATGGTTATGCTGTCTTTACAGGTGTAGCAGAGCAGTTTTGGCAAAATGTCTGTTATCCCCACAATGGAAAGGAGCAGCCTTGTTTTGTTTTGTTTTGTTTTTACTCTAGGCTATGAATGAATACCTGAGTGATAGCTACTATGAAGGCAGCCCCTTGTATATATGAGGAGCTAATATCTGCACAAATCTGAAGACATGTAATTTGTCTTGGATCATTGGGAGCTTGAACTTTAGTAACAGGGTAGACACATTGAAACCTTCCATGGCCTCTCCTGCCTGTCAACGTTCTTTTAGTGTCAGTTGCAAGGAAGAGAGAGAGAAAAAATGACTCTACTGCCTGAGGGGCCGAAGTTCCAACCTGTGACGCAGCAATATTTCTCTGAGCCAAGAAGACTGGGGTTTCTGCCTGTGGCAGATAAATTCAGTTAAATTTCTCAAGCATTGTGAAGTGGAATTGGTGGGGAAACATTTCTCTGGTGGGGGAAGGCCACCCATTGCTCCTTTGTCCCCCATTGCTCCTTCCTTATTTGATTAAGCAAGGCTAGAGAGTTCAAGCTCTATCAGTGGTACCTTTGTTCTGCCCTCCTTTTCCTGCTCAGGCTTGGGACCTGATTTTAAAGTAGTATTCTGAGCCGAATCCTCTGTGGTTGTAAAACCCCTTCTAACCAAAACCAGAGAATGAAAATTAAATACAGAAATCAAGCATGCAAAAAACACTTCTACATACATATACCTCTGTGATTCTTGAAACTCTGTTTGTCCCATTTTTAACTACTAGTAATTCAATATACCTTTCTCCTTTTTGCTTGTTTGAGTCCCTTTTTTATTTTTTTATTTTTAAGGTCAGTACACCTCCATGCCCCAATTTTTACACCCAATAATTGCCAATACAACACTCCTGTGCTGAATATTGACCTACCAATGCACTTCTCTCCCGTCTATTGCACGCAAAATTTGAGAAGCATCCCCCTACCAATTCTTCTTACCTGCTATCCTTATTCAGCTGCCAAATTGTCACAAACTGGCATGGTTCTCAGTGGTCCAGGGGAAAAACGGTGGCAGGATGAGGAAAATATAGACAAGAGAAAAAGCGGAGGTCAGGTGGAGTTCTCTTCTTGGATGGGAGAAGAGAAACTGGACAACCACCACAGAGGCGTTTATTTATACTTATGCAAAGTTAGTATCACAAGACACAGGGTTGCCTAGAGACTAACAACTGGAGTTGTCTCAGGCAAGATGTTTTTCTCAGCAGCTTCAGCTGCTCCCTAAACTGAGAGGCCGTGTATGTAAGGCCAAGGTATGGGCTTTGCAGCCAGCAGGAAAGATCTGAAGGACACTCTCCTGTCCTCTCCTCCCAGCAAGGTGGCTGAAGGTCAAGCTCCACTCCAGGAGGAGGGACCTGGCAATACTAAGGTGCACGCTCGCCAGCTGGTGACATATACAGGATGGCTTCATTCACAAGACAGCATGGTCTTTCAAGTAAGCAGTCCTTAGCGCTGTGTGGCGGGATAGGAGGGGGAATGTGGGGCTTCTCAGCCCTTTTCTGCTGCTAGTTGTAGCTTTGCTTTGTCATTTCTTCCCCTTTCCTGCAGATGGCTCAGAGGTGCTGGGACTGAAGCCCTTCCTCCCAGCTCTGCTCTATCCCTCTGAAATGGGGTCCAGCACTGGCCTTCCAGCGCAACAAGCTCCTTCACAAGGGCATAATGAATCACAGGGTGTCACAGGCAGTGAATCATGGGCCCTGCACTCCCCCAATCCAGCCTCCCTTCTATCGGAGCCCTCAAGGTGGCCTAGGAACAGTGGGACATGGCAGCCCACTTCCTGCTTTGCTGTCTCATGGGGTACCACGACTCAGGCTGGCAGTGGAAGCCCAATGTGAGCGTAGGGAAGGAGGGAAGGTCTGCACTCAGGTCATCTAGTAGTGGCCTGTCCTTTGGCCACTTCCCGGGATGGTGGCAGGCAGACCTGGAGCCTTCTCTGTCCCCTACCCCACGCTCCTGGAACTCCACGGAGTTCATAAAGGCCCTCCAGTGTGCAAGGGCCCCATTTCCTCCCCAGAACGCTTCTGATCAGGAGCTAGAGCTAGCCGTGGTACCAAGGACTCAAAGTGCATAGAGATTTTGCACCAAAGATTCTAGGCTCTCAGTGAGCCAAAGACCTGGAGACCTACTTCTCACAGGATGAACACAGCTCATACCACAGGGCTTTGTGCTGTATATTTTATTCACATTCCACTCTTGAACTTCTTGAACAGTGTATGACCCGCCTGGCTGTGCACTGCCTAGACTGGGCTCAGTCTCAACTCTCCTCTGTCACATGCAGGCTCAGGACGAGGTAGCTGTGCCAGAGGATGAGAAGCCATGCCTAGCTCAGAGTTAGGCTGGCTCTCACCTCTGCCGGCTAAGAGCCAGGACGCTTAGTCTGCTTGCTTACCCGTGTGTGCTGAACGGCTGTGTGCTGGCCATAGAGCAAAGTGACCTGGTCATGCCACACAGACGTAATGCGGGGTCCTTCCCACTGCCCCACACCTTCTCCTCCTAGCAGGGAGGGCACAGGAGGGAGGTAGGGAGGCTGGGGACGGAACTCTTTTCCTCAGGTGCTCCTTCGCTCCTCCTCCTCCCCAGGTACCTCTCTTCCTCCCTCCCTTTCCTGCAGCACAAGCTGCCCCCAGCTGATCTGGAAAAGGAGAGGTGGTTTCTGAGCTCCTCATGAGTGGGGAGCCATGGCCTGTGCCGTTTGCTGTCTGCAAGGCTGTGAGGGAAGCAGCTGCTTCTTTCTACCAACTTTCTGCTCATGTGACCTTATGAACACGAATTTCCAGGAAGTGGTCTCCAGATTCGCTCTAGCCCTGAAGATGCCTCTCTGAGACAGTGACCCCTCTCTGCTGCTCAGTTACCCATCAGGCGGCCGGGAGTAGGGGCTTTGCCCCCAACGCCCTAGACAGGGCCAGCTGTCCTTCCTCATGAGGGGCATCCAGGTGCCCGAGTCTCTAGCGACACTGATTTTAAAGATGCACATGCAGCTACGAGGAACTGCTCGTGATCAGGTCACCATGGGCAGAGGCCTGGGCTTCTGCACCATCACCCCAAGTCCCCAGGGCTCTGACAGCAGAGCTTCCTATGCAGCCTCCAGCAGCCAGGCCTTCCCATTGGTACAGGCAGTTTCCAGGGCCCTGGATTAAATAAGGACTTCAGGTTGCACTCAGGCTCTGGGGAGGAGAGGTGAGCCAACACAGGCAGCCAGCTCCAAGCAACAGCTGTTGGGGTGACACAGGTCCCTTCCAGTCAACAGGCACAAGTGATTTTCAAACATCTGGTCACACTGCCACCTCTGGACAGACCCAGGATGACTGGCCCAGCCCCTTAATGCATTACAAGATGAGTGCCCCCCTCAACCTCAGAGTGTGACATTCTGTGGAGAGAGGATTGTTAGAGGTAATCAAGTTAAACAAGCTAATGAGGTGGCTCCCTAATATAACTGTGTTCTGGTACAAAGGGTGTCCCGGGAGACACGCACAGACCTATGGGAAGATGGACACAGCCATCCATAGGCATGGCGAGGCCTGGGACAGACAGCCACCCCCACAGCCTGTGGAAGAACCAACCCTGGCAGCATTTTGACTTTGGGCTTCTGGTCTCAGCAGCTCAGTCCATGGCACTGGTGTACAGCCCTTTCCCAGGGACCCATGCGGGACCTGCCCCTTCTTTAGTGCACTGCGACTTCATCTGAAGCAGTCCTCACAAACCAAATCTCCTATAGGAGCCAAAATCTTTCCTAAGCATCTAAAATCTTTAATTTTAGAATCCACATGAGTAAACCCAGCTTGACCTCGGGCGGAGTTCTCCTGAAATTCATTTGGGGCTGGCACTCACTCCAGGAAGGTGGTGCAGATCTCAGGAGGGGTAGGAAGTCAGGGGCGCAGCCCTGGTGCCCACCCTGCAGCTGCCTCCATGTGTGGGTAGTGCGCACATGTCTGTGCGCATGCCACCCACCAGTGGCCCCGGATGAGTCTGGTGAGGACAGGAGGAAGGAGTTAACATCTGATTGAACCTGAGCCAAGAAAATCCAAGGTGTGGCTGAAGAATGCACCCGGTGGCATCCTCTAGAGCAGACATCACTGGGTTCCAACTTCAACAGCGGTAAGGGCCAGCGGGGCAGAGCAGGGGGACCTGTCCAGCACACTCAGCGAGGCCAACCTGATAGAGTCCAGTTAACGGGCCCCCCACCTTGGGTCCCGGTGCTCACCACCCCAGAGGTCCTCCCGGAAGGCTCCCCTTGCCTCCTTGGGCCGGGCTAGGATGCTGACCTGGATGCCTCCTGCAGCCAATGGCTCTGGGTCTGTGCTGGCTGCGGGAGAGGCCCGCAGCGGGGGTAAGGCGGCAGGCACGAGAGGGGGCAGCAGGCTTTGCTGGCTCCCAGCATGTCCGAGGAGGGCATGTCCAGTTGGCATGGGAGGGCAGCTTGGTCCCAAGGGGGCCTGCTGTGATGAGCAACGGCTGGGCCTGGAAGGTTCCACCAGGACAGTGTCTGCAGGCAGCTGAGGCACTGGGGGGATCCTCGCTCTGGACAGTCCTTGGGGATCACCAGACCTGCAGCCTTCAGCCTGGGCCTGCAAGATCTTTGGTTTGGGCCTGGTGGAGCCCTTCTGTCTCCAGTAGGGCAGGTGTCTATGACTAGGGCCGTGGGCCCAGCGAGGTGCCCTGGGAAGGGACCACAGCCAGGAAGCTGGGCCCTTTGGCCCAGGCCCCCGTGGGCGCCTCCTCAGCCGGTCCACCTGCGTCCTCATGGTGGCCACTTCCTGAGCCAGGCCTGCCAGGGCCACAGCGAGCTGGTCCAGCTTCTCTGCGAGGGTGACACCCAGGCTGTGCAGCTCCTGCTGTAGGGGCTTCCGACAGGGGCACGGTGGCCGGGGGGAGGTGGCCGACCACACAGGTGAGATGGCTGCCGGAGGCGGAGAACTGCTGGGCAGCTCAGGTGGGTCCCCAGGGAGCAGTCTCCCTTGGATCCTGGCTGAAACCAGAGAAAGGACAAGGTTAGAGTTCGTGGGCTATGAGGACCTGCTCTCTCCCCTAGAGGCCCCTTGAACCGGTATTTGGTCTCCTGATCCCCCTAAAGCCTGGCTTCTAGAATGGAAAGAAGGCTACTCCAGCTTAAGTACATTATATATACTATGCATATAATTTGTAGTGCAGGGGATTAAACTCAGGGCTTGTGCATGGAAGGCACACCCTCTTCCACTACACTACATCTCCAGCCCGCGGCCTAAGGATACTGATGCCCAGCCTTGTTACATCGCAACCGGCTGCTGCCTGCTGTGCCCCACCCTGACAGGCAGGACCAACCAGACGGAGTTTCCATGGTGACCACACTTTCCCAGAGACAGTGCTCTCCCACTTTCTAGGAAAAGAATCTGTGGGTTCCTTGTGCCACTCCTGGGATTCAGTGTCTCCTGGAGAACTTACTCCTGCCCTAAGGGGTCGCTGAGATGGGCCCAGAGCAGCATTCCTGACAGCACAAGGCCAAGAGCACCAGGGACACAGGCTGGGGGTACAGCTGAGGACACGGGGGCCACTGAGCTACATCAGTTACAGATTCAGAGGGCTTTATTT